CAGGCTCATGAGAAAAATGGCTGAGCAAAAAATTTTAAGAAAGATCCAAGCAAGTAACAGAGCTGAAGGATGCAGTGATAGAACTGAAAAAAATGGAGAGGACCAACAGTAAATTGAATGAAGCAGAGAAGCAGTTTCCCCAAAAATAAAAAGCTAAAGAAGTTCATCACTGCTAAACTGACCTTGCAAAAAATGATAAAGGGACTTCTTTAAACTGAAAAGAAATGGCACTAACAACAAGAAAACACACAAAAGGAAAAAAAACTTGCTGTAAAAAGCAATCAGAGTAAAAGTAGTGATCAACCATATATAAAATAAACATGAAGTTTAAAAGACAAAAGTACTAAAATTAAATCTAAACTAATCAGTTGAGAGATACATGCAATAAAGGTGTACAATGAGACATTAAAATATAAAATGTGGTGAAAGAAGGAAAAAATTGTAAAGTTTTAGAATATGTTCAAAGTTAAGTTATTCACCCAGGACAGAATATTATATACATAAGATGTTATAAGTGAAATAAGAAAGAGAAATACAAATACTGCATGGGGCCTCCCTGGTGGTTCAGGTGGTTGAGCACTGCACTGTGAAGCTGTCCACAGCCTCTGCGGTGTGGATTTGATCCCGGCCGGCCAGCGAGATACCCACATGGTGCAGCAGACCTCTCCTGTCTCGCCCGCTGCTCCCCTCAGCAGTGTGTTTCGTCAGTCTGCCTGTTCTGTTCCCCTCTCTGTCTCTGGTGAATCCTCTCACCCTCCTGCACATCTGGGCTGTACCCCAGCACTTGTATAAATAAAAAATACTTCTTAAAAAAAAGTAATTAAAAAAAAAACCAAATGCTGCATGATCTCACTAAGATGCGTAATCTGAACTTCAGAGAAACATAGAACAGACTGGTAGTTGCCAAAGGTGGGGTGAGGATGAGGGAAATGGGTGAAGAAGGTCAGAAGGGACAAACTTGCAGTTATAAATTAAGTAAGTTCTGGGAATGTAGCATACAGCATGGTGAGTAAGCTAATAATACTGTATTGTATATTTGAGATTTGCACAGGTACTCATCACAAGAAAAAAGTGCAGCTGAAGTGATTGATGTTAACTAAGCCTATTGCGGTAATCATTTTTAATGTATACATATATCAAATAATTATACTGTACACCTTAAACTAATGCAATATTGTATATTATAATTCATAAAACTGGGAGAGAAGAATTATCAAATGTAGTACAATAAAAGTAATTGATTTTCAAAACTGCTAAAAAGATACACTATAAAATAGAATAAAACTATACTTAGGGGAATAAAGGAAGTAATTTTTCAACTTTTTGAGAAATAGGAACCCACAAATATATTAAGACCAATATATGGTTGCCAAGAAGAGTAAACTTAAAGAAAAACTGACAAAATTACATCATATTTTAATTGCTGAAAAGCACTGTTAAAGACAAAGTCCTCTAATCTGCCAGAGATAAAAAAAATGTTTCATCCAGAGACCAGACTTTGAATACAAATCTTCTCAGAAATTATGCAAGACAGAAAACAATAGGATCACCCCTTTAAATTCAATGATGGAAAAAAAGGCTGTGTAAAATCCTATAGAGAAGATATATTTCAAAAGTGAAGAAAAACAAAAGTGGAGGAAATTTGACCTCAGTGGACTCACACTACAAATACACTAAAGGAGGCAGAAGGAAAATGATGTCAGATGGGAGCACAGATACACAGAAGGCAATCAAAAGCATAAAAAGTATTTGAGTAAATATGAAACGCATTTCTTTCCTATGTTCAACTTCTTTAAGAGTATTGTTTAAAATAGGGCCTCCCCTGATGGCGCAGTGGTTGAGCTCTGGGCTGCGAAGCTGCCCACAGCCTCTGCAGCATCGGTTCGATCCCCGGCCCCCTGAGAGGGTCCCACATGGCACAACAGACCTCTCCTGCCACCTGCTGCTCCCCTCAGCAGTGTACTTCATCAGTCTGCCTGTTTCTGTTCCCCGCTCTGTCTCTGGTGAATCCTCTCACCCTCCCGTGCTTCTGACTGTACCCAGTGCTTGTATAAATAAATAAATAAATCTTTTTTAAAAACCTAAAATAAGGTTTGTAAGGTTTGTAATATAGAGGTTTGTAATATAGAGAGAGGTTTTGTGAGGTTTGTAATATAGAGAGAAATACTGTGAAAGAAGAAAAGGGACAAATGGAAGCTTATTTTGGAAAGGTTATTATATTTGATATTAAGTAATACAGTATTATTTGAAATTAGACAATGATAAGGTAAAGGTACATATTGTAAAATTTAGAGCAATGACTAAAAGAATAATACATACATGATTAGTTAATGAATCAAATTTGGAGATAAATAAAATTCAAAATAAATTAATTCCAAATGAAGGCCGGAAATAGAAAAGGAAATAAAGAACGTGTGGAATTAACTCCTCTGCAATTCCTTCACCTTCTCCCCACCAAGAGATCCTAATTGCCTTCAGGATACATCCAGAATTCTTAGTCAGTTCTCAGACTTTTCTTTGACTTTTCTTCTTGTTTCTGGCCCTCTCTTCCCCAAACTAAAATTTCTTGGCATCTACCTTTTCCTCAAAGATTTTCTAAGTGTGTTTTTGCCAATATTTTGCTCTCAGTGAACCTATTTGGGTTTTAGCAGAAACCTTCAATGCCTTCACCCAAAGAATACAACAAATCTTGGCAGTAGGGCAAGCTTTTAAGGAAGCTGGGAGAAATTTCCCTGTGCTTATTTTTCTTCATAAAGATTATTGAAACTGAAATGTTCTAAAGATAAACTTTTTTTCTCTAATGATGTCTGTGAAATATTCTTTGGTAATATCAAGTGATTAGAGACATTTCCTCTTCTGGTTGAGCTCTAGAAATATTTCCTGAAAGTGATGACCTGTGTAGTTTGCAGAAAGATGTTTAGTCAATGTATTTCTGCATAAAGTTCACAAGTGTAGAACAAAGTCATACTAAAGAACAGTAAAGCGCAGGTTGACTATGATGTGTTGATATTGCTGAAAAATGGTTCTACGATTGGAAAGAGCATAGAGAGGAAATCAGGAGACCTGGCTCTCAGACTAACTCACCAGGTGTGATCCTGGAGCAAATCCCTCTGCCCTCTGAGCATCGATTTCCTTATCTACAAAACAAGGTAGTGAGCCAAAGCATTTCTAAGTTTTCTACCAGTTATAAATTTTCATGACAGTCACTGTCACTGCCTATGGTTATGCTTAGTCTCTGAATCCTGGGGAATCAAGTTTATTTCGGTTGGATACTGGAGGTCATGCCCCAGTCAGCCTCTTGACAACAAAGCACTGATTTCCCCTACTCTCTCAAAGAGAATTCCCCGAAGTAACTACTACAATTAGGGTTCCAACTCTCTTAGCTGCCAAACTGGCCTCCTCCTGTGTCCAGTCGTAATTGGTGGATTTTTTTTATAATTTATGCCCCAGCTCTTTCCAAACAGACTTTGAGGAAAGCTTAACTCACTTTATTTTGAGTGTTCCACTGTTTCCTGACACATTGGTTTTGTTCCACACATCTGATCCTAATATCTTTTCCTCTACTTTGTGCTTGTGCAATTATTGGTTCTTGATTATTACTGTGTACATCCATAAACCTGCACACGTAGCTTGTATAAGATGGACTATTGGCAACAAAAAGAGTACACTCAATATATACTCAGTATATCCTCTACAAAAGATCTTTTCTGGCTTCCATGACTCCTCTTTTAGTGTCTTACTTCTTTTTCAATGAGTTGTGAATCCTTCCCTAGAGATTCTGAGAGAAAGACTTTGAGTGGCTGTATTATTGGAATTTTCTTTAAAAAACATAGTGGAAACCCCAGTAGGCTGGGGATTGGCAGTTGTCTTGAGTGGTGTACAATTTTGAATAAACCAATATCCGTGGATGGATGTTTTATGATTCTCTGTCCTCCTGGGTGTTATGAAATAGAAATGCCATATCACTCAAGACTTTCAAGTTACAAATTTGCTTTTATTTTTTTCTTACCTTAATGTGAACTAGAACAATGACCTTAAAATAGAATAATTAAAAGTAAAGCCTTTCCAGATGATCTGAATAGACATTTACCCAAAGAAGGAAGATGGCCAATGTGAAAAAATGATAATCATCACTTATTAGGGAACTGCAAATCAAGACCACAGCAAACTATCACCTCACACCTGTTAGAAGGGCTATTACTGAAAGACAAGAGACAGCAAGTGTTGGTAAGATATGGCAAGAAGGAAACCCTTGTACATTGTTGGTGGGTGCGTAACTAATGTTTACTATGAAAAACAGTATGGAGATTCCTTAAAAAAATAAGAATAGAAATGCCATGATCCAACTATTCCATTCCTGGATATTTATCCAAAGAACATGAAAACATTAACTTAGAATAATATATGCACTCCAATGTTGACTGCAGCATCATTTACAATAGCCAACCTATGGAAACAACCTAAGTGCCCATCAGCAGATGACTGAATATGGAAGATATGGTTTATTTATAGAATGGATTACTACTCAGTTACAAAAAAAGATGAAATCTTGTTTGTGCAATGTATATGACACTAGAGGGTATTATGCTAAGTGAAATTAGTGAGATGAAGAAAGACAAATATGATTTCACTCATATGTGGAAGATAAACGAAGCAAATGAACAGAAAAAACAAAAGAAACTCTTAGGTTTAGAGACCATAGGTGGTTACCAGAGGGTAAGTGGGTTGTAGGGTGGGTGAAAGGTATAAGAGGGCCATTGTATGGTGGTGGATGGAAACTAGACTTTTGGTAGTGATCATAATGTAGTATCTATAGATAGCAAAGTATAATGTACACCTAAAGCTGACATTGTTTTATAAAACAATGCTACTTTAATAAAAAATCTTAAAAAAGAATTAAACCCTTTCAGAAATTTGAAATGCATATTTTACCTTCACTTCCTTCATTGAGAAGTGAATGCCATTCATCCCATAAGTTCTTTTTCTTTTTTAAAATTCAGAACCAAATATGACTGACCTTCAAGAACTGTACACATGTCGTCTAGTCCTATGTCCTTAATGCAAAGTGAATTGATATTGCCAACAATTTGGTAAGTATAAACAAAAAAATCAACCCACTTAACCAGAACTACTTGCCAGGATGACTATATATATTACAGGTAAAGACTATGGGTTTCCCATTGTCTTATAACCCTCTTACTGGGTCAGTGATAGAGGACATTGATACACTCATCCATTTACCTTTCATTCATGGGAGACCACTGAAACCTGTTATTTCTACTTGTAATAATGTGTGATGCTTATCAAGCATTTTATCTGTGATAAGCACTGTTCTAAATGCTTTACATACATTACCTTATTTAACCTTGTTTTCTGGATTATGCAATATGTGTTTTTTTGTGTTCCTATTAGTAATCAGAAAATTAAGATACAAAAGGAAGCGAAGTAACTTGCAGGGTCACACAGTAAGTACTGACAGGCGTAAATTGAACACATCAGTTTGGCCTCTACATTAACAATATCTTTTTCTATATATATTTTACATCATTTTTCATATTTGTACAATGTATGCATTTTCATCTTGGTTATATTCCCCATACAATTCCCACCCCCCTTATTTTGACCCTAATCCCTCCTCTCCCCATAGTGTGTCTCTGGTTTATAGTTGCTTGTTGATTTTGTTATTTACTTTATTATAATTAGTCTTTTTCCTGGTCTCTTATTTAGGTTTTCTAAATTCCTGCTATGAGTGAGACCATCCGGTATGTTTCTTTATCTTTCCGGCTTATTTCACTGAGCATGATCCCTTCCAGCTCCATCCATGTTGCTGCAAATTGCATGAGTTTATCTTTTTTGATTGCTGAGTAATATTCCATGGTGTATATGTACCACATCTTCTTGATCCAGTCATCTATTTTTGGGCATTTGGGTTGTTTCCATAGCTTAGCTATTGTAAATAGTGCTGCTATAAACATAGGGCTGCAGGTGCCCTTTTGAATTAATGTTTCTGTGTCCTCTGGGTAAATACCTAAGAGTAGAATTGCTGGATCATATGGAAGCTCCATGTTTAGCAGGTTGAGGGATCCCCCCATTAACCATATCTTATAGAAACTATAGATATTCTCTGGTATTGATAGGACGCTTGATAGATTTAGTCCTTTTGAGGGATGGAATAGCCATCTCCACATCTAAAATAGTCTTCTCACTATCCAAGTACAATGCTTGGATGTATATGTGATCTTTTACTTTGAACAGTGTAAACTTGCTTTTAAAATAAGAATGGTTTCATATGCGCTACCCAGAAGTGGTATTATATTAAGCCATGGCCATTCACTAGCAAGTTGGCTGTCCATCAGATTTGTTTATCAAATGTAGGAAGAGCGATCTAAAAGGAAACAGGGAAAAGGATGCAAGGTATCATTCCTAAACTCTGCACCAAGATACCCAAGGAAGATACAATGAATTCACAGGGGCGCTATGAGATCTTTTAGAATTTAAAGGGAAACAATGATGATATTTGATATGATACCACGTGAACTACTACACAAGATATTCATAGTATTAACACTAGATTGTGCTATATTATTTTTGAAGACATCATACATTTGCTAAGTCAGATTTTGGCAATTCCTGTGATTAAAAAGCAAGGACTGTGTGAAAACAATATGGAGGAGAAAATGGTGATGTCCAGCGTGATTCTAGAAGTTTAAGAGGTTGTGCAGGCACATGTATTCCATTATTAATTATGATTATTTGAGAATGAAATAAAAATATTTTTTCTTCCAGTTTATGTATATAATTTTTTTTCAAGTTGCCACTAAGTTGTCAGTACATAAACTAATTTGCTTGAAATTAATTACTTAATAATTTCAAATATTCTTCTGAGCTAGGGGAAAACTAATGCTATTACTGAGACACTGAGTGATCTGGAATTTCGGGAACTGCTGTAACAGATTATATCACATCTTTATTTTTGTGGTTAGGGGATAGAAGAACGGAAAGTCCTATGTTTGAGCTGGCAGGCAGTGCACCATGAAAATTTTGGGCATCTGAAAGGGAGGAAAGTGTTGCAGAAAGGAGATGGAGCAGTTCTAAAGTAAAATTATAGACACAAATCACCCATGAGTCTGTTTAGACTCTAAACTCTGTGAAGATAGGGACCGTGTGAGTTCAATTCTGCTGTGGTTTCTCAGTACCTCACATCTTGTCTGGAAGAGCAAATATTTTCTGAAAGAAAAATTAGTGGAATCTCTTTTAGCATTATCACAATAGCTCAGTTTGCCCAGCTGGCAAATAAAGTCGATAATTGCACTCATTCTCTCTAACGAGCTAAAGTGAAGAGATTGTATTTGATTATACTGCAACTCACCTACAGGCACTGCTTTCATAACCAACCACCACTGTTTCCTAAGGAGTTAGTGACATCCCTACTCTAATACTACTTTCCACCTAAGGTGGGGGTATATAAACAACTCACTAGGAACTAAATTTAGTATCAGGCTCAAGCCTATTAATGAATTCAGAACAGTTTTTGAACACATCTACATTGATCTATTGATTCTTTAACCTTTTTTGCCTTGATTAACTGTAAGTATAACTACGAGTTCTTATTTCAGTCTCTACTTATGACCAATTGGGTTTTAGCTTATTTCTGACTGGTGATCTGAGGAGTCATTTTATTCATACCTGATAAATGCAAAAGAATAGAAGCAAACTTCCTCAAATGAATATAGATTATTTAAGAAAAACCTATACAAGTCAGACGTTATGGTGACATGATGCAAGTATTTGCTTTAAAATCGGGAAAAGGATAGCGCAGCTTCAATCTGTATTTCTATTAATCATTAATCCTAGCAGTGTAGAAACAATAAAAAGAAACAAAGTGTAAGTTTTGGAAGGCTTGAATGAAATCACACCTCTTCAGATGTATGTTACCACATCACACCCACCATCAAAGCACTCATGGTGTTCTGCCATACTCCATTGAGCCTCCTCCCTCCTTGCCCTCCACTTCCCCCTCTGGTAACTCAATTCTACAGTCAGATTTCTAGGCAATTTAAAATGAAGTAACTTACAAAAAATTAAAAGAAAATTGGTTGAATTTTCTGCTTCTAGATAATGGCTTAACAGGGTTTTAGTCCTTCCTAAATAACTAAGTAACTCAAAAGCTGGCCAAATATTTTTTAAGCTATTACAGACATTAGACAACAAAAAGTGAAAGATTGTGATCTTACAGAGAAAGGAAAACATTGAGATGAGCTTTATGATCACCTTAGCTTTCTTCCTGAATACGTGCTTGCAACCAAACATGTAAGTCGGGAAAAAACCAAGCAGAGTACAGGATCGGATTGACTTGAAAAGATAGATGTTGGCATTTGGAAAGACTGAGGTGCATGGAATTTGTAAATAAGGGGGAGCTATTCAAAGAAAGGGCACTAGAATATTCGTAGTTCACCCCTTGAGTCTATTGCAGAATACCAAAATATCTATGAGGAAGGTGAAAATTCATGGTAAAGAAAAATCAGGTAACTCTTAGATGAAGAATTCTCTGAACTTTCCCAGGGCTGTGGAGATATTCTAATTCTAATTAAGAAGTATTAAAGAGTTGTGCATCTAGATTATACAGAAGAATCCCACAAGAAAATACCTTAGTGGGCTTCCCTGGTGGCACAGCAGTTGAGCGCTGGGTTGCGAAGCTGCCCGCAGCCTCTGCGGCGCCGGTTCGATCCTCGGCTGCTCCCGGCCACTGGAGGAGGGTCCCACATGGCGCGCAGACCTCTCCTGCCACCTGCTGCTCCCCTCAGCAGTGTACTTTGGTCCTTCTGCCTGCTCTGCTCCCCGCTCTGGTGAATTCTCTCACCCTCCCGCACTTCTGACTGTACCCAGTGCTTGTATGTATAAACAAACAAATAAATAAATAAATCTTAAAAAAAAAACCTGTTTAAAAAAAAAGAAAATACCTTAGTTACATATATATCGCGGAATACTACTCAGAGATCAAAAAAGATAAATGCATGCCATTTGCAGCAACATAGATGGAGCTGGAAGGGATTATACTCAGTGAAATAAGCCAGAAGGAAAAAGAAAACTGTTGATGGTTTCACTTATAGATGGAATATAGGGAAACCAAACAAAGGGTCCATGTAAAGACAAAACTCGCAGGCAAACCATAGATCTGAGGCACACAACAAGGTAGCAGGAGGGAGAAGGGTCAAAACAGGGGAGGGGGAAACACAAGGGACTATGATGATGGGTCATGGGCGCTGTGGTGGTGAGAGAATTATGGGGACTACACCTGAGAGGAAAAATCAAATATTGTACAAAAATGAACAACGATGTAAGAAAAAAATTGAAAAATAAGATAAAATCATAAAAAAAGAATAATACCTTAGTAATAGTGTAACAGGGTGGTCCCCAGGAAAGGGGGAGGTTCCCTGCCCCACCCAAGGGAGGGTGGAGCTGAGCAGGAAGAGGAGAAGCTGCAGAAGAGACTGAGGAAGGAAGCAGGATGGAGCCAGAAGGAGACCTGGAGGAGGTGCATGGAGCCTAGAGACACATGAAGAAACTGCGCTTGTCTTTTGGTCGTGGACTGGGTGACACAGATGTGGGTGAGACCCATGGGGAGGTGACCATGGCAGCTTTTATCTTGATGTTGATTTTGCTCTTTTCCTTCCGGGCTTGTCCAGTTGTTTGTGACCCTTTTCTGTGGGTCCCCACTGGAAGATGCTTTAGACTTGTAGCATGCTTTGGGGCCTTGTTCTGGGCCAATCCCATTTGGATGGACTTTTACCCACGAGGGGACGGGTAACTCTGGATGCTTCATTTAGAAACTAGACTCTTTGCCTTACCTGTATTGTTTCCTAGTTTTATTAAAGTTCCTTCCCATTAAAGTCTCCTATGTTTTGTGTTAATGCGGCGGATGGCAGAACCCATGTAGAATAGGCAGGTTTGCGGGGTTTGGGCTGCCCCTCTCCCTGTCCTATAACAATAGGACTAAGCTACCCATGGTATATATGCCACTCCAGACCCATACCACAAAGCTTAAAAAACAGGCTTCAAAAGAATCAGACTGATCCAAAAGTACATTTATTTAATACCAGTCATAACACAGCCCAACACTGGCTAAAGCAAGATAACAAATTCCAGTACTTGGCAGTTGTAAACTTCACACAGCTCAAACATCCAATCCACATTAACAGACTTGTGAAGCAGGAAAATCTGACCCATAACTTAATGGAAATAAGGCAATAGGAACAGACCCAGAAATTAAGAGAGATGGTAGTATTTGCTGACAGCTATTTTAAACAGGTGTTACAAATTAAAGACACATGAAAATAATGAGAGAAATCAGTGCTACAAAAAGAAGCAAATGGATCTTATATAGCTGAACAATAGACTATTTAGAATGAAGAATTCACTGGATGAGAAAAGCAGCAGTTGAGTACTGAAGAACAAAGGATAGATTTTT